CAAACTTTTATAAAATGCGTTGCTTAAACCGCAAGTTTTATCCAGCATTTTAATCAGTTATAACCCTTTTTTGCTTCACTTTTAACAGTTTTCACCGTTATAATCTTCAGCATAACGTCGTCGCTCGACCAAAACTGAAAAACACGGTGATTTGCTCATGCACAAAGCAGACTGGAGTTCTGCCTCGCAAAATAAGTTATTTTAGTTTTTTCCATTACAGTGATCATAGCCGAACAATTAAAGCAACAGTTTCTAGAGAATCAACGAGAATTTGTTCAGTTTTCTGTGATCGTGGATCATCGTGTACACCCATGTCCAACTAAACTGAATATTTCATCACTGACTTTTATAATCTACACTGGTTATTCATGATAATTTCTCGAGCGTCAACTTATTTGAGTCATTGTTATTATAGTGGCAATTTTCATTTGAACCTTCGCGAAAATAAGGACTGAACGCGCATACCTCTATTCAGGCCATCTACCCTATCCGTACGCAGTGAGGCAACATATAATAGGCTTCATCACTTCACTTGCATAAAATATGCTTGGCATGGACTAATAATATAACAATTTAGCAAAATTATATTATGATATTCAAGCAGATATTAATTGAATATTCAGGCGGCATCGGCTATTAAATTCTGAGAGCCTTTGGTTGCAAATTCCAACCATTTACTTGATTTACTTTTTAATTCCAGAGCAATTTTATGAGCCCTATGTCTATTGAATTACTAATAAGGGTGATTGTGATATCATTATAAGGAATTGACATTCTATCCCTGGTGCCTGATTATGGATTACACCATTGCGCTATATGTTCCGTTGCTGCTTTACTTCAAAATTGAATTATTTCCCGGAACTTTTCAGCTTAAAGAATTTTAATATAAAACCCGTTTAGAATCATCGGTAACCTTAACATGATAGTATGTTTATAAAATACCAGCCATCAGTACCCCAGTAGTGATCGATGGAAAATTCCAGCGAATTTTTTATTGATATTCTTAGAGAAGCGAGCATTGTTCTGCCGTCAAGCATTAGAGTCGACAGACACGCGGCATCCACGACATTGAGCTCACCTAATCGAATTATCGAGATCCAATTATACGTTTTACGATCCTGCTTCTGACGACGTCGATTTACGTCCGATTTCTTTCATGAAAAGCCGATGGCTCTTGGAACTGAATTTGAAGATCAGATGCTTTTACGGAGCTCAACTCCAGCGAGAACGATCGACGCACGGCGGAAAACTATAGTCCGGATAACAACGACTTATCGATATTTGAAAACTCTTCGAATTTAGAAATAGCATGGGTCTGATAAACTAGAATATACAGCTGCGTGATTTAGATTCTAGATAAATGTTGGATTGTTCGCTAAAATAAGCCCCTGGGAGTTTTAGACTAGATTCTCTTCGGTATCGAAAAAATTAATACTTGCTGCCCAGACACTTAAGCATATTAATTAGGCTCAACTAAAACATAAGCAACAACAGACAAATTTTCTAAAACTCTCTCGTCTGTGAAAAAAAGTTAAAATGCATAACGTTCCAAGGGTAAAAGAGATTTATAAAAGAATAACTTTTATATAATTTTGTAGCAACTTTTATTTACATTCAGTAACTATGACAGGCAAAGTGATCAAAATACTAACTTCTGATGACTACTATCCTGCTCTGAAGGAATTTTAATTAGAATTAAATGAAGGGTCGTTGTCATTGAATTAAGATAGAGTGAGTACAATACTAAACAAAGTCTTCATGAATAAATCAAGAATGGACGATCATCAGACTGGTACGTGTACCCAATTTATATATATGCAACGTTCATGAAATAATAGCTATTACGAAACTCGAATAGCATAGTTCACGTATAACCACAACATAAAACTCAGACTCATGTCAACAACCTAATATATTGCGTATGAAACCTCAAGAAGTTCGACGTATCTACGTAACTCACGTTCATATCTACGTAACTCGGGATTGTATCTACGTAACTCATGATCGTATCTATGTAACTCACGTAGGTATCTACATAAGTCACGCAAGTATCTACGTAACTCGGGTTTGTATCTACGTAACTCATAATCGTATCTATGTAACTCACGTAGGTATCTACATAAGTCACGCAAGTATCTACGTAACTCGAGCTGCAACTGCCAGTAAGTCATCACACTTGAAGACTTGATGAGACAGATCTAAATGAGGCATGCAGTCTTAATATAGCTGCAACTGCCAGTAAGTTATCACACTTGCAGTCTTGATGAGACTAATCTATATGAGACATGCAGTCTTAATATAGCTGCAACTGCCAATAAGTCATCACACTTGAAGACTTGATGAGACTGATCTAAATTAGACATGCAGTCTTAATATAGCTGCAACTGCCAATAGGTCATCACACTTGAAGACTTGATGAGACTAATCTAAATGAGACATGCAGTCTTAATATAGCTACCATTGCCAATAAGTCATCACACTTGAAGACTTGATGAGACTGATCTAAATGAGACATGCAGTCTTAATATAGCTGCAACTGCAGATAATTCATCACACTTGAAGTCTTGATGAGACTGATCTAAATTAGACATGCAGTCTTAATATAGCTGCAACTGCCAGTAAGTCATCACACTTGAAGCCTTGATGAGACTGATCTAAATGAGACATGCAGTCTTAATATAGCTGCAACTGCCAATACGTAACTCGGGTTTGTATCTACGTAACTCATAATCGTATCTATGTAACTCACGTAGGTATCTACATAAGTCACGCAAGTATCTACGTAACTCGCGCAAGTATCTACGTAGCTCATGCATATACGTCTCTACATAAGTCGCGCAAGTATCTACGTAACTCACGCGAATATCTACGTAACTCTTGCACCGATAAGGACGACGTTACGATGATACGCGCAGAAATGCACCCTGTCCCAGCGTTGTTTATGAGGGCGAAGCCGGAAGGCGTCTCGAATTTAACGGCGCGTCCTGTGAAGCGGATAATGTTGCGCAGGCGCGGCAATTTCTCGCAAGTCCGGGAAGCGTGGCGATTTTTATGGAGCTTTCGAAGGAAGTTCTTTTGGCAGTCGAGCTGACACGTGTAGTGTCAGTGTCATGCAAACACGACACACGGCCTCTTTGTGCCGCTGTCGGCTGCCCCGTCTTGATCTGACGACTTCATTGACGCTCTCCTCGAGCGCGTCATCACGAGCGGAAGCTGGCAGAGGCAACGCGCGCTTCTGATTACGGAATGCGTATCCAAGAGCGGGAGGTATGAACAGCAGACACGGGAGGTATGAAAATGGGATCATGATCCTCTTCTAAACCAAAGGCTTACTAGGGGGTATGAAAATAAGATCATAATTACCTCAAGAACCCAAGCCTCCTCAACGTGCGTGAAAACGCTCCACCGGAGTTTCTATATTTTAAAATAAAAAAAATTTAAGCTGCATTAATTTGTTCTCCTGAACTATATGAAATAGATAGGAGAAAGGTACAGATGATATTTACAAGAGTCCAGATGGCGTTTAGATGAGGCTCGCATGGTGCTCAGATGGTTCTCAAATTCTGCTCAAATGGTTCTTAAATGTTGCTCAGATGGAAAAGAAATGTGTGCGATGTGTAATACCATCGCAGGTGGTGAATTATTTCCGAAGTTCGAGACACGTGTGTCCCACTGTTGGTGGGGAACGGATAATGGGTGTGAACGTTGAAAGTTACGGAATAATTTCACAATATTTTCGGTTGGGGCAACAGGGCCGGTGTGGCTGGAGAACTACAAGATACTAAAAAAAGTGTACAAACTGAAAAAGTTTTTAGAGGGCCTGTTACAGCCAGGTGACCTATAGCATTTGATGCCTGATTGTTTGGATATCGCAAAAAAGTCATATCATTTGCAGTCGTGATGAGTCTGATGTTAATGAGACATGCAGTTTTAATATAGCTGCAACTGCCAGTAAGTCATCACACTTGAAGACTTGATGAGACAGATCTAAATGAGGCATGCAGTCTTAATATAGCTGCAACTGCCAGTAAGTCATCACACTTGCAGTCTTGATGAGACAGATCTAANGCGACACACGTATTGCCACTGCAGACTGTCAACAGAGATATTGCTTGTGTTGTCTCCTGTTGTATGGCACTTCTTGTTGCCTGGTAGCTTCGGTCGCAGAAGCTACCTCTATATCGACGGTGATGGATCGTTCTCCAACTTTCGATGTAAATAATGCCTATGAATTTTTACAATAGGCCGAATGGGAGGCATGAAATTCAAATGTGATAAAATGCGCTTGAAAATGGATGCTTAGCCAGCGTCTCAACGAAGATCCTTCTCGTCATTTTCTTGCGAACTCATCTCAATGAAATCACGGAAGCTGCTGCCACATTTTTCAAAGAGGAAGTGAATTCTGTTATTCAAAGATATTTACATATCACGTTTTCCTAAATTTCAAAATTTCGTGACTTGATGATGAGTTCATTTGCATGTGCCGAAAAATATACCGGAACACTGGCGGCTGAATTTAACTTAAAGCCCGGCGTGAAATTCGTTATGAATAGCTTGGCGACGAGATGTTAAAAACTTTATTCCGGAATGTTCGTTTTTGTTAATTTTAAAGATTGTTGGGCATCCGGAATTGTATTTTTTCATAATCTCCCTTAAAATTTTTTACAGATTGTTGGGTATCCGGAATTGCAGTTTTTCATAATCTCTCTAAAAATATTTAAAAACTTTTCGATGTTTCTCAAATGTAATATGGGACCAGTAATGAGAAAACGTTACACCATTATTTTTCCAAGCCTAATAAGAATCACAGTACCACTTCTGCTTCTGATGCGAGATTATTTGATGAAACAACATAATTACTGTAATTGAATTGAACTAATCAAAATAAACACGAAAAATATCCTGAGTAATTAAAGTCTTCAGAAGCTGTCATATACTTATGTGCAGCTGAGAAGTTGTCTCTCGTGACATTTGGTGCATCTGAGAATTTACCCTCTGAGACACTTGGTGCAGCTGAAAGCTTGTCCTCTAAGACGCTTGGTGCAGCTGAAAGGTTATCCTCTGAGACACTTGGTTCAGCTGAACGGTTATCCTCTGAGACACTTGGTGCAGCTGAAAAGTTGTCCTCTGAGACACTTGGTGCAGCTGAAAGTGTGTCCTCTGAGACACTTGATGCAGCTGAAAGGTTGTCCTCTGATACACTTGGTGCAGCTGGAAGGTTGTCCTCTGAGACACTTGGTGCAGCTGAAAGGTTGTCCTGTGAGACACTTGGTGCAGCTGAAAGGTTGTCCTCTGAGACACTTGGTGCAGCTGGAAGGTTGTCCTCTGAGACACTTGGTGCAGCTGAAAGGTTAGACATTGCGTCTCGGAATAATTTTCTCGAAATGAACGGGGACACTCGGGACGAAACGAGAAATTACGGGGGAAAAAATAACGGGACAGCGAGTAAAATTTGTCTCGGAATAAACTTTTTAACCGGGACAAGACTTGTGTCCCGGACTTTAAAACTTGTGTCCCGGACTTGAAAACTTGTGTCCCAGTAATTATGAAACGATAGGACGCAGATAGATACAAAACGGGACATGACGGAATGAAACATTCTGTAACGTAGAGCGCATGCATTGCAAATTAATTTAAATAAACCATTTAACCTAACTTTCTACATCATGACTGAAAATGCACTCATGTGCCTACATTTTCTAGATATCATTTATTTCTGTTATTCTTTCGAGAAGAATAATTAAACTTGCTCTCACTGTTAATGAATACCAAGAGATCAAGGAATATCCTTGATTGCTAATAAAGGCAGTTGCCAGTAATGGCCATATTCGGTTATATTTGGCTGTCAAACTAATTTGACAGTTAAATTATTCGGCAGTCTTGACGATGTGTGACTGAATATTTATTGAATGATGTTGCTGTTGAGCCTTTAATTAATCGCGCATAACGAGAACCATATGAGTTCAGTACGCTTAATTAATGGCATGATCGCGGAGTCGTTTAATTAGAGCCGATTGCTCAGCCGCTTAGAAGAAGAAGTGGTAACTCTAAATATTTTGAGGAGCGAAGAACAGGCGAGACCCATGATGACCGGTGGTAGAAACTAAGACCAATAATAGTCGTAAACATTGAGGCGGTATTTAGGTATTTACAAGGTATATGATGGCAACACGTCGGTTATGCGTGGACACCTTCTTCGTGCCGACGCTGGTTAGGTCAAAGGCTGGAGAAACATTATGTCGGCTTAAACAGGGACTCTGATTTGGCATTAGACGAAGTGGAGAACATCTGCAATGATTATGAGGGTACAGTGAATTTCAAAAGTTGAGTCGTACATGAGAATACTAGGCGAACAAGTCGTAAGTTTTGATGTCGGTCAACCAAAGTCAAAGTTTATACCCTAACGAAGCATTGAAGACAGTCAATTAAGCCATCACCACCTGTATAGGCTCCTGCAGATGAGAGTTATTAGTCCCAACCAAGTAGAAAACGCCCCACTTAATGCACTCTGAACTTGTTCGTTTGACCTCTCGGTCATTTGATATTACACCAAAGATTGTTAAAAAAGAAGCATAATTATTTCCCGGGCAGATGTCGCGTAAAAACTTGTTTGCTAGAGGTTGGCTCGCAACGGGCAGTTACTGGCCACTCCTCGCTATTATAAACCTCCAGGAGGCACTACACGTATCTCTGTACACGAGGCCACTAGTCTGGTAATTAGTGACAATTACCGGTAGTCTTTTGAATCGAAAACGAAGCAACGCTAAAATTCGAGTCAATTCCTTCCGCGGAGCCAGGCCATTAATTAGTTATGTATTAAATTTCATGCATAACTGTTCAGGACTGAGGGACTTGTGAGCTGTTCAGTTGCACAATTTTTTTTCGTTTTAATTGAAAACGAAAAAGGTAGAAATCAGTAATAATTTCTCCCGCTGCGCATTTCTAACCATTAATTATGTTTTCAATTTCACTCTAGCCCATCAAATTTGCCAGACGGGCCATAACGATGTCATTTTACATAGTAATATACTAGAAACGTTGTGAACAGACGAAATGTGGTCAGATGTCTGAGAGGATTCATTATTGTAATTACCTATTAAGGATTAACTAGTAAGTCTCGCTATGTCTCGTTAAAAGCGACGAAAATTCCGATAAATCTTGAAACTCCTATTTTAACCGGGACGTCTCGTCTCGTCTCGATCTTGTCCCGGAATTCCCACGGAGTGCTGAAAATTGTCCAGATATTTATCGCATACCGGTGCAAACTCTGTTGTATCGTCTCGTCTCGATTGGGAAAATGCACCAAACGCAGGAGTACAATTGGTTCTCTATAGTCAATGAGTTAACAACTGGAATTCGCTAATGAGTTAACGACAGGAAGTAGATAAAGGAGCCGCGGGGCCCAGATCATGGNCAGCTGAAAGGTTATCCTCTGAGACACTTGGTGCAGCTGAAATGTTGTCCTCTAAGACACTTGGTGCAGCTGATATGTTGTCCTCTGAGACACTTGGTGCAGCTGAAAGGTTGTCCAGTATGCAAGTAAAAAAATTCGTTTTTGCTCTGGCTTTCAATGCTCAGTTTAATAGGAGTTGTTGTGTTAGCTCTAAAAGATTTAAGCTGCGGCGGCTGAACGGCTCAAAATTTAACGCATTTTTCAGAGGATAATCCATTAGAGCTAAAAGCTCGGAGTGCTGCTAACGAGGTAGTGGTGATGGTGGTGAGGGAGTGATGGTGGTGAGGGAGTGATGATGGTGAGGGAGTGATGGTGGTGAGGGAGTGACGGTGGTGAGGGAGTGATGGTGGTGAGGGAGTGATGGTGGTGAGGGAGTGATGGTGGTGAGGGAGTGATGGTGGTGAGGGAGTGATGGTGGTGAGGGAGTTATGGTGGTGAGGGAGTGATGGTGGTGAGGGAGTGATGGTGGCGAGGGAGTGATGGTGGTAAGGTATGTACAGGGGTTAATAATAAAGGGGTAATAAGAGGCTTAAGAAGTATTGGAGTATTGAAAGGTTTACTGGACATTGCGTCTCGGAATAATTTTCTCGAAATGAACGGGGACACTCGGGACGAAACGAGAAATTACGGGGGAAAAAATAACGGGACAGCGAGTAAAATTTGTCTCGGAATAAACTTTTTAACCGGGACAAGACTTGTGTCCCGGACTTGAAAACTTGTGTCCCGGACTTCAAAACCTGTGTCCCAGTAATTATGAAACGATAGGACGCAGATAGATACAAAACGGGACGTGACGGAATGAAACATTCTGTAACGTAGAGCGCATGCATTGCAAATTAAAATAAACCATTTAACCTAACTTTCTACATCATGACTGAAAATGCACTCAAGTGCCTACATTTTCTAGATATCATTTATTTCTGTTATTCTTTCGAGAAGAATAATTAAACTTGCTCTCACTGTTAATGAATACCAAGAGATCAAGGAATATCCTTGATTGCTAATAAAGGCAGTTGCCAGTAATGGCAATATTCGGTTATATTTGGCTGTCAAACTAATTTGACAGTTAAATTAGTCGGCACTCATGACGATGTGTAACTGAATATTTATTGAATGATGTTGCTGTTGAGCCTTTAATTAATCGCGCATAACGAGAACCATATGAGTTCAGTACGCTTAATTAATGGCATCATCGCGGAGTCGTTTAATTAGAGCCGATTGCTCAGCCGCTTAGAAGAAGAAGTGGTAACTCTAAATATTTTGAGGAGCGAAGAACAGGCGAGACCCATGATGACCGGTGGTAGAAACTAAGACCAATAATAGTCGTAAACATTGAGGCGGTATTTAGGTATTTACAAGGTATATGATGGCAACACGTCGGTTATGCGTGTACACCTTCTTCGTGCCGACGCTGGTTAGGTCAAAGGCTGGAGAAACATATTATGTCGGCTAAACAGGGACTCTGATTTGGCATTATACGAAGTGGATAACATCTGCAATGATTATGTGGCTACAGTGAATTTCAAAAGTTGAGTCGTACATGAGAATACCAGACGAACACGTCGTAAGTTTTGATGTCGGTCAACCAAAGTCAAAGTTTACACCCTAACGAAGCATTGAAGACTGTTATGTCATCACCACCTGTAGGCTACCACAGATGAGAGTAATGAGTCCAAACCAAGTAGAAAACGCGCCACTTTATGCTCTCCGTACTTGTTCGTTTGACATTAGGGTCAGTTGATATTACGCCAAAGATTTTTGAGAAAAAAGCATAATTGTTTCCCTGGCACATGTCGCATAAAAACTTGTTGGCTGGAGGTAGGCTCGCAACGAGCAGCTACTGGTCGCTCCTCGCTATTATAACTCCTAAAGGATGAAGTATCTCTGTACACGAGGCCACTAGTCTGGTAATTAGTGAAAATTAATATTTTAAATCGAAAACGAAGCAACGCTAAAATTCGCGTCAATTCCTTCCGCGGAGTCAGGCCATTAATTAGCTATGTATTAAATTTCATGCAGAAATGTTCAGGACTGAGGGACTTGTGAGCTGTTCTGTTGTGCAATTTTTTTCGTTTTAATCGAAAACGAAAAACGTAGAAATCAGAAATAATTTCTCCCGCTGCGCATTTCTAACCATTAATTATGTTTTCAATTTCACTCTGGCCCATCAAATTTGCTAGACGGGCCATAACGATGTAATTTTACATAGTAATATACTAGAACATTGTGAACAGACGAAATATTGGTCAGATGTCTGAAACAATCCATTGTTGTAATTACCTATTAAGGATTAATTAGTAAGTCTCGCTATGTCTCGTTAAAAGCGACGAAAATTCTGGTAAATCTTGAAACTCCTATTTTAACCGGGACGTCTCGTCTCGTCTCGTCTCGTCTCGTCTCGATCTTCCCACGAAATTCCCACGGAGTGCTCAAAATTGTCCAGGTATTTATTGCATGCCGGTACAAACCCTGTTGTATCGTCTCGTCTCGATTGGGAAAATGCACCAAACGCAGGAGTACAATAGTTTCTCTATAGTCAATGAATTAACAACTGGAATTCGCTAATGAGTTAACGACAGGAGGTAGATAAAGGAGTCGCGGGGACCAGACCAGGCTGCTCTGTACACACTGACTGTACACTGTTCTCTCCGTACAGACCACTGCCCACTGCCCATCACTGCCTCCTACTGCCCACCACTGCTTCCTACTGCCCACTGCCAACCGCTATCCAAAACTGCCCGCCACTGCCCACTGCCAACCGCTATCCAAAACTGCCCACCACTACCCGCCCCTGACCACCACTGCCTACTGCTGCATACTGCCCTGCACTATCCAAAACTGCACACTGCCCACCACTGCCTAGTGCCCATCACTTCCAAAACAAAACTGCTCACCGC